AAAACAAAAAACAATCACCCCTTATAAAATAAAGCAAGAACAAGAAGATAAAGCTCTTTGTATAAAACTTTCTAAATACAACTAAGTTTTTTTTTTATTTTCTTCTTTTTTGCATTTTTGAGAAATAAACAAATTTTTTTTTGTCAAACCTTATTTGAACAAAACCTTTCCAATTTTCTTAAAAATTGCATAAGAAAAACTTAGAAAAAGAAGTGTGCCTAACGTAAGATGACACGAGGATTAAAAATTGTACTCAGATTTTGTAAAAAAAAGTTTTTGAGATATAGACCTATTTTTTTGTCAAGCAAAATTAATTGTCTTCAAAATTGCATAAAAAAACAAAGAAAAATAACTGTTTCTAATGCAAAATGTCACAAAAACGACAAATCTGTGCTTAAAATTTAAATGCATGGATTAGTTTTTGAGATTTTTGATCGGTTTTCCAAGTGAAACTTGGGCGTCTCTTTTCCAATTTTTTTTTATTGCATTTGTAGACAAATTTTGGTAAAATTGACTAATTTTTGAAACAGACTTATTTTTGTTTTTTTTTTGTCAAACCCAATTTGTGCAAAACTTTTCCAATTTTTTTTAAAAACTGCATAAGGTTTTGTAAAAAATGATCAGTTTTTGAGACAGACCGATTTTTTTGTCAATTCTGATTTGTAGGAAATTTGTTTAATTTTCTTTAAAATTGCATAAGAAAATCAAAAGAAAAGAAGTGTTTTTAACACGTAAAATAATACGAAAAAAGGCTGCCCAATTATTATTTTTAATATATATTTTTAATAACTTAATATGAAACCTAAACACAAAAAATAAAAACAAAAAACAATCACCCCTTATAAAATAAAGCAAGAACAAGAATAACTCTTTGTATAAAATTATTTCCTTCTTTTTTGCATTTTTTGATTTATTTTATGCTTACTAACTAAAAGAGAAATAAAATAAAAAATGTCAGTTGACATTTAAAAAAAAACAAAAATTCGAAAACTAATGTCACTAGTCTCAAAATATAGCATTTAAAAAAACAAAGTTGACCTTTCGAGGATTTTTTTGAAAAATGACTCATAACAAAGATGTTGCTTTTAGTTCAGTCTGTGTTATTATTTCTAAAGAAAATTGTTAAAAAAGACAAAGTTTTATTAATTGAACTGTTTTTAAGAGTAGAGAAAAACCAGTAAACAAATCTGCTGATTTGGCCTTGTA